GCCAACTACAAGAAACGTCTGACCTCTGTGATTGCCAACAAAGGTTTTGCCACCAAGTACTAAAGCACGTTTTGCAAAGGGATCAAATACTTATTTCATTCATGAAAATGCAAATTACTTTATAACTTTTTTCATAACGCATTTTTCTGTTATTGTTGTGTCTCTCACTGTTCACATATAGCCACCATTGAAACTGTAGACTGATCATTTCTTTGTTAGTGGGCAAACTTACAAAATCAGCTGGGGTTCAAATAATTTTTTCCCTGACTGTATAGCGGAGCATACCAATTTCTTTATTTTCTAACTCTGTCAGTTGATTAACAAAGGTGTATAACCTGTCTGAAAATCAACCATTATGGATGTGATTAGTAGTTGGTTGAGTTGGCGCCGCAGATGGCTGCCTCGGTTCTGTACCGGAAACAAATTCCTTGTGTGTGTAACATGCTTGGCCCAATAAAGGTGACTTTTATCCTTATTAAAACCCCCTTTCAAATTGGTTAAAACAATTTTATATATATTAAAGCAAGAAAGGCAGATTCTACAGCTTTTTTCACATCCAGACCACATTAGATTAAAAAACTACTGTATTTATACTTGTCAAATCAGGAACCGATTATCCCCAAAAAAGCTCAAGACTCTTGAAAACAATATTAGATGTGAAAAACCTTTAAAAACAAAAAAAGTGATTTCACTGTTTTTGTCACATCTAGACCACATCAGACCAAAAACCTCTAAAAAAAAACTAAAAATCTTTTCCCTTCATATTCATGAACCCTGTTTGCCTGTTGTTTTAGTGAATAAAGAAACATGTTTTTTCACTGCTTCATCATACTGCCACAACAACATGACCTTTTTTGGCGAAAATTAATTAAATAAATCCACATCTAGGGGGGGTAAAAAGCTAGAGTTCAAAGGCAATAGTATAAAGTGAAATCGCTATTGTCCCTAATAACAAAACAACAAAGGTTTCACAAATCTAAAGCAAGGCACTTTTGGGATCTTATAGGGAAATGGTTTTCCACACAGAGGTGTTCGAATGTGGTGTGTTTGAGAACAAGGCATAAAATCCTCCTTTGTTACTTACATAAATAAATAAAAAACTTTTTTTATGCAAAGAACACAACATACAAAATATTGAGAATAACAATGTCTGTGCGAGGGAACTGGAGAGTACATATAAGTAAAGTAAATTATTGATTGACCTTGGTATATTATTTAAAGTCAGATATATAAAATAAATTCTGTGCGTATTATATTTAACAAAAAAAAAATTATGCTATAGCTTCCTTTTTCTTTTCATATTCATACAACTCATGACAGAACTGTTCAAAATTCGGTTTTCAATCTGGAATGCAACCATTTTTCTTCAGGTATGTTTGGATAAGGATAAAGATAATCACTTTTATTGGCCAAGTATGTTACACACAAAGATTTTGCTTCCGGTACAGAGCCGATGGCAGCCATCTGCGGCGCCAACTCAAATGATGGCTCTAACCATCGGGGGCAACTTAGGGGTTCAGTGTCTTGTCCAAGGACACTTCGACACCTGGAGTGCAGGCACCGAGATTCAAACCTTCAACCTTCTGGTTGGGAGACGACTGCTCTACCCACCGCACTGTCGCGTCCCCCGTTTTGAAACATACTGTAGCTAGGATTGTGGCTAAGGACTATTTAGTTAACTTTGTTGCAGCCGCTGCTCTGTCGAACTGTTCCACCTATTGAACTATGCTTTAAAACCGTTATGCGTTTGCTCAGCGAGATTGGGGTTAGTGTTTCAATAGGCATTAACATAACTTGACAGAACAACAGATTACAAAGTGGCCCTTAACCAGACAATCCAAACAGTAGGCTAATTCAATTTAACGTTAATTTTGAACAACATATTTTGTTTTGCGCTTTACTCTAACTCGGAAAAAGAGATGGACAGACAACAAACCTACATAACTAGCGCCGTATAGAAAATAACAAAATCGAGTGAGAGTCATTGTTACAGTAAACGAACGAGTTAACCCAGGTGAAATAATTCGGATTGTATTAACATAGCCTACCGTTTTCCCGGCGTTATCCAGTCCCAGGATCAAAATGCAGTATTCGTCCTTCTGGAACATGTACTTATATAATCCAGATAATAAAGTATACATATTGGAAAACTGTAAATACGGTTATTTACTTTTGGCTATATTAGATGGATAACTTCACTTAGCCTACGTGTGAAGCTAAAGACGGCAACACACGCCACTGTGGCTTCATTATAATCAAAGAAACCAAACACGTTTGACTAACAACCGTACTAACATGAAATTAGACGATAAAAGTTGTTTGCAGATATCGTCTAATACTACGCCGATACTCTACACACAACAGTAATGCTACGTGTTAGCTAACTAGGAAGTTGTTGTTGTTCTTCTTCTTATGTTTATTGGCAGTTTGCTAGCCAACTTAAGGTGCATTACCGCCACCTGCTGTGCTGAAGAGTGGAACAACAATAGAGCCAAAGGGGAAAAAGGTTCTAAGAACTGCATAAACTACAAAATCCTATCAAAAATACCTATGTTATACCCCAGTTCTTTTACTGTACAGATCTGAGTAAGGAAGGAGTCTGTCTTTCTTGATTTTAGTGCTGGTTTATTTACAAACATATATATATAT